TACACAACTCCAGTATTACCCTGGCGCTAGTATTTGTTTAGTTCAGTCTTTCTCTTTTGGGGTTCCACTCTTCGGGGTAAGTGTGTGAGGGTACTGCCTGTCGTCCCATGGGGCGCGCGTTGCGCGTTTGGCGAAGTTGGCTGGGAGCGACGGGCAGTGCCTCAATTCAAACTAAATAAACAAGTTGGGTGAATAGTTCTTAGGTAAAACCTTTAAATTTGGACGTTAAACATTTAACAAGTTGTGTTTAATCTTTGTAAAAAAGTACGCCAAGCACCCATTTGTACTGATGGGACATGGACCAAATCGGTGTGCTTTAACTACAAATAACTTCTTGAGTAATATAGGCATATAAATACTAAAGTCACGTGACAAATACTTAAGTCATGTGACAAAACACTTTGGCTAGCATCCACTTGTTCTGGTGGGGCTAGTGAATGGTTGGCAAGCGTGCCAAGGTTTCGGGCCCAGTGATGCCAAGCATGGCAAGTATTTTGGGCAAGCGTGCCCCGTCTTTAGCTTGTTTAAAATGTTTCTAAGGCAAATATCTTTTAGCAAAAAGGTAATTTTTGGTATGCTATAGCTTGTTAATGTATTTACGGACATTTAATACAGTTAAACATTGACCGAGGAGAAATAAATTAGCGGCTCATAAAATCTATGCCAGAAAAGTCAAATCAACTCTCACTGTGTGGTGTTGTGTGTTGTCTGAGAATAAATAATAATTATTTAATAAATAATGAATTATATAATAAATAATGCATTATATTATAAATAATGCATTATATAATAAATAATGCATTGTATAATAAATAATGAATTATATAATAAATAATGAATTATATAATAAATAATGCATTATATAATAAATAATGCATTATATAATAAATAATGCATTATATAATAAATAATGCATTATATAATAAATAATCGATTATATAATAAATAATAAATTATTTAATAAATAATGAATAATATAATAAATAATGCATTATATAATAAATAATGCATTATATAATAAATAATGCATTATATAATAAATAATGCATTTATATAATAAATAATTAAAAGTGTGCACAAATTATATATAAATAATAAGTTACCACACTCTCACTGTGTGGTGTTGTGTGTTGTCTGAGAATAAATAATGAATTATATAATAAATAATGAATTATATAATAAATAATGCATTATATTATAAATAATGCATTATATAATAAATAATGCATTGTATAATAAATAATGAATTATATAATAAATAATGAATTATATAATGAATAATCGATTATATAATAAATAATAAATTATTTAATAAATAATGAATTATATAATAAATAATGCATTATATAATAAATAATGCATTATATAATAAATAATGCATTATATAATAAATAATGCATTATATAATAAATAATTAAAAGTGTGCACAAATTATATATAAATAATAAGTTACCAAATAAATTATATAATAAATAATTGAAGCGTGCCAAAAATTATATATAAATAATGAGGTACCAAATAAATTATATATAAATAAATAAAGTGGGCAAAAATTATATATAAATAATGAGGTACCAAATAAATTATATATTAATAAATAAAGTGGGCAAAATTATATATAAATAAAAAGGTTACACATAAATTATATATAAATAAAAAAGTGTGCAAAAATTATATATAAATAATAAGTTTGCAAATAAATTATATATAAATAAAAAAGTGTGCAAAAATTATATATAAATAATAAGTTTGCAAATAAATTATATATAAATAAAAAAAGTGTGCAAAAATTATTTATAAATAATAAGTTTGCAAATAAATTATATATAAATAAAAAAATTGTGCAAAAATTATTTATATATAATAAGGTTTCAAAAAAATAATATATATATAATGCAGTGGCAAATAAATTTATTTACATATAATGCAAACTGCCAAACAATTATTTATATATAATTGTCCGGGAAACTGAATTATATAATAAATAATGAATTATATATAAATAATTTTGTTAAATAATTTATTTACACATGGCGCCTCATATTTACCAGGGTACAAGGTGTGTGTAAAACATTCATATTAAAGCTTTATATTGATATAGATTACGACGATTAAAGATTTAAGAAAATCAACGGAAAGTGAAACGAAAATGATGTCACTATGGGGGAGTTTCGTGTATTCACGTTCTTTGTGTGTACGATGTACATGCACTGGCTGGCCACTGCCTGCGTGCAGAAATGCGCGGCACTGGCCGGTCGGCACTGGGCCACGTGGCATGTCAATGTACCGTGCCCCTGTGCCGTGGGACAAATGTTGGTTGGATCGTTTCGTCTGTTTCTGCGTCCAATTGCGGAGTTTTATTTCAGTGACAATTTTCAACGGGGATAGTGAAAAGGGCACTTTAGCTTATATTTTAGGGAGAATGAAACAAAAATGTAAAGTGAGTGCCGTATTTTGTTTTCACCGTTTGTGACTGTTAATTCCAGTCATTGACTCTGCCCCCATAATGGACTCTCAACCACTTCGCCCCGTATTCATTGCCTTTATAGTAGCCACATTGCCCCGATGTCAGTTCGCCCCAAATATTTCTCCGCGAATTTATTATCCGAAAATTATAAACCAGAATGCTATATTCCGCTATTTAAATCATGGCCTACGGATGAGAATTTGGGAATTAAAAAACCTACAAAAATATTTAGAGATAGGGAAGAGAAAGAAGGTCAAACCTGATCATACAAAAATCAAACTAAAGTCATAGTGACTTTACTTTATGTATTGATAACAAAAGTATTCCCCTTGCTCAAAAAGGTCTACAGTGAAGTAAAATTATATTTAACTCCATGAGGTGAACACCCAATAATGCTTTCTCTTTTTGCCACTGGAAAACTGCAAACCATGCTTATCTTTACCACATGCTGTCTGGTGTCAGTCGCCTGGCCCGGCCGCGATATTTTTTATTACACAACTATCTGGGGTACCTTGTGCGCTTTCCTATGGGGCATTTTTAATATAAACAGGCTGGAGTGGAGGCTACTAATTTTCAACTTGGTACGGATTTCGGACTTTATTTCCCTTTTTTAAAAAATCCTTAAGAGCCTTGGATCAGAAAAGAAAAAGAAACTTGCTGTTATACAAGTAGTATCCTACTGAAATATAACGTTTCTAAGATAAAACTTTGACTTTTTGAAAAAAAAGCGAAATCCGAAAGGGGTAGAGCAGGGAATCGAAATCGAAAACCTCTGATTACTAGCCAGCCTGCATAACCACTAGGCAACGGCGGTGCTCGATCAGACCCGGCAATTCGTAAATTATATACTTCGCACGTGTGGAGAGAGTATACGCTCGAATATACGCGCGCGCGCGTAGGTAAAAGGCTACAGGATTGTAGAGCGCCGCTGCGCGGCGCTCTACATTCCTATAACCTTGATTCAAGTCGCCTGAAAAATTGGTACCCTGTACTAATGTGTAAATAAAATATTGGCGGCCCGCGCGGCCACTCACCCTTGTGTAAACAACACATTTTTTAAATCCTTGTGTAAACAATTTACTCCAGACAACTGAGCACTAATCTCTTTATCTAACCCGATAGAAATCCGATGGCCCTGTTGAAAAGCTACCGGTTTTCTTCTGAGTCGGATATGAGGGTGTCGGATTGTCTTACCCCATACTAAACCGACAGGAATCTTGATAGGGTGCATAAACCACTTGTACGGCACGAGGAAGGATGGATGACTCATATTTCATCAAAAAATTGCAAGAAAAAATCTCTGACTGCGATTTCTGGCCTAAAAACAAGCCCTCTGTTTGCGGCTACCTTGCTGTAGGGCACCCCAAGCGGGAGTTAATTGAGTTTTTGCTTTTTCCTACCCCAAATTACCCCCCCCCCTTGTCCGCTCGAAATTGCTGTGATCGGACGACAGTCCATCAGCCTGATTCAGATTTTGGGCGCATTTGTTGCGGAACCGCCATTGGTGACCCCTTTTGAAACGCTGGGCCCTCCCCCCCCCTCAGGTCCCGCCCCCCTGAAAAAAACACTGTCGTGGAATGTTAAGCGCAGGCGCACACATTCGACAACAAACGATGGAAGGCGCCATTTTGAAACTATAAGAAGCGAGGTTTTTAAAAATTCCCCCAAACCACTTGTACGGCACGAGGAAGGATGGATGATTCATATTTCATCAAAACAAATGCGAGAAAAAAATCTCTGACTGTGATTTCTGTCCTAAAAACAAGCCCTCTTTTTGCGGCTACCTTGCTGTAGGGCGCCCCCAACGGGAGTTAATTGAGTTTTTGCTCCTTTCAACCCCAAATTACACCCCCCCCCCCCTTCCTTGTCCGCTCGAAATTGCTGTGATCGGACGACGGTCCATCAGCCTGATCAGATTTTGGGCGCACACATTTGACAACAAACGATGGAAGGCGCCATTTTGAAACTATAGGTTACAGACCAGTAAATAAACTTCCATAGACCCCAATGGTAAATTCTCCAACTTAAGAAATTCGGGAAAAATACTCACAACTCACCAAGGTGTTCGCGACACACATCAAATTAAAGCTTATTTCGTCATCTTTCATTTTCTTTTAAATTCTTTGGGGTTCAAGTGATGACTTTTAGGAGAAATTTCCACCCGAAGATGATCACCCCTGAAAATAGTCCTGAAGCCCATCGCCATTTTGAAAAACGATGCCTACACTCCATTGCAAAATAGAGCGCTTAAAGGGCCCCAGTTTCATCCAAATTGAACGGAACTACAACTTCACATACCTGTGCACGGCTTCCACCCATATTGTTTTACAAACCCTCAAGTTCATGGCCCACAGCATGCTCAAATACCGTGACTGAAGATTTTGAGGGCATGCAAATCGTGATTTGGCCGGCGTAGGCAATTTCGGACCGATTTACTGGTCTGCAACCTTATGAAGGGTTGCGGGTTTACAACAGCGCCCTCAATTGAGCTTTGTACGTGCACCTATGTACATAACATTCCATCCCACATTAAATCACTGCAGCTAGAGCAGAATCGTACAAAGTGATGCGCAGTGTTTCAAACCTGACATAATTCTCCGACGAACTTTCTGGGAACTGCCTTCTGCGTTTCGACCCAGTTTGTGTGAATACGCGACTGAGAAATAATGGCATCAAATAAGACCTCCAACAACAACCTCAATGGATCGAAAACTTACGCTGGAAATACGGCCTCGCCTACCGGCAAAGCGTGCCGACGGTCGTTGGTGCTGTGGACGATACTGACAAGCGGACTAGTATACGCTCTTGTATTGTGGCACCAGCAATAAGCAGGTGAGTTCATGACTGTCTTTTTGTTATCTTGTATCATGTGCCAATTCAAAGCTTTTATGGCTCATTTTCTTTTTACTCATTACAAACCTCGATTCATAGCCAAGTAAAAAAAATATCGAAAACAAAAGCGCCTTCGGTCTGTAATCATTAAATGATTCCTTAGATTTCGTAATTCATTAGAACCTAAAACTCAACACCATTTGCCAAATTCGATATCAGAATTAAAGGATAAATTTGCCTATTTCTTTTGGACCGGAAACCGGGACCTCAAAATAACGAACAATTTTCCTGACAAATTAGTGCCGAATTGTCCATGCCCGAGCCAAGGTTCCTTCCTCCATGCCCGATCCTACAGCGACGGGCGACGAAACCATCAACCATTTTATGATTGATCGATAGGCATTGTAAACTAATGTCTTTAAGAGTGTAAATTAACGATGAAAACAACTTCAACTGATTCTATCAGAATGCCATAGACTCACACCCTAACAAGTTCCCGTTAGAGCTATCGTTAAGTTACATTTACGGTTTATTCCTGTTTAAACTTAAACTGTCGGTCGCATTCGGATTTTTTTTATTCCTCTTTCTTGTTAACATTATAGGCCTAAGCATCTATTGTTTTACCCCTGTTCTGCGACTATCTATATCTATCTCGTTATCATTGTTCAAAAGGCTTCAACGCAGTTTTGTTATGCGCCTATATCAAATGTTTCCCCCTCCCTGGCCGGCCGCAGGTCCGAAGTCGGGGTTTGGTCACGTTTTTCATGCCCCTGGGGTGGGGATTCAGTTTGGTCACCCCAAAACCATTGGCGTACTACATGGAAAGGCAATCACTAGTGCGCCCCACGCGTGTCGGAGATTGTCCCTATTTTGCCCAAGAGGTGGGGAGTTTTGTCTTTTCAAAAGTGACAATCCCCACGTCTTGGGTCGGGCAGCCGACCACGCATTACAGGTAACGTTGTTGGCAACTAACGGGGCTCATGGAATGTTACTATTTAAAAAAAAAATGCAATCCATGAAAACGCACCTTTTCCTTATTTGCATTTTCACCAAGGGGTATTTTGGTGCTTTTTTTTGGTTTTAGTGCTTATACGCAAATCTCTATATTCGTGAGCAAAAGTGTGATGTCATATCAGGCAGAAACAATGTTACAGCTATTTCAGCACAAGTTGCCAGAATTTTCTTTTCTTTGGCTATTCGTAAGTTATGTCGGTACATGACAGTAAGCCATTGAGCAAACCTTTGTCACAAATGTTTTCAATAAACATTCTGGGTTTATGATTTGAACAGAAAACTCCTAAACTGAAAGGTTCCCTCCTGAAAATGACATCAGAGTAACAGTGCTGTCAGTTGTCCGGAAAAGCACGGACAATTTGTTTAAATATAAAAAGTGAATGCACCTTTCAATCAAAGTATTAAACCAAAAAGGGATGTCAGATAGGTTTCATACATTCAAGAGGAGTAGAAAGTTGCACAACTTGTGTTTCTTGGAAAAAAATCATGGCTTAGACCCTTTGAATAATTTGTAAGTACAGAAAACGCATGCCATTGCAATTTGCAAGCATTTTGCTCACCTTTGTCGCTTTGAACAGTTGCGAAGTTTGTCGTTATTATAGAAATATCATTGTTTCATACATTTTCACTTCCTTTGTACGGTACACACCATCAAAGTGGATTCGTGAAATAGACATTTCTCAGGGAACGCCATCTTGAAAATCCAGCTGGCCTCATAACTTAAATATCTACTAAACAGGTGCAATTTCAGCTCAGAAAACCGCCGCGGATGGAAAAGTGAAAAATAGAAAGTCCGACGTTTTTCTGACGGCGGTGCTATTTATAAGCTTTAAACTAACACGAAAACTTTAGTTCGGCCACTGACTTTAGGTTTTGTAGTCATAAGATCCTCCTTCAAAACACAACGAGACGTGACCTACCGAGAATGTTTCGATGAATTTGATTGATGTTTCGATGAATTTGAGCTCTACATCCACTAGTGAGATGATCAATCAGATATAACTACGCGAGAGTCACTCGCTTAACGGACAAACTATTAACGTTGCCATCCATGTGTGTTTGCCTCACATGCCTCGCTTTGATTATTTAAGATGGCGTACCCTGAGAATGTTATATGAAACAAATTCGTAACTTTGTCAGGGGAAAAAAAACAGGCTTTGGACGTACAACGAATTTCTGTTTAATAGCTCCATGCTATAGGACTAAATCCTGAAAATTCTAACAGTTTGCTTTTATTTTCTTATAATATTCCGGTCGATTCTGATATATGTCCCCCCACAGTGGTATCAGCCACAACCGGCACTCAGCACTAACTTCACCAGAAATGTATCATCGACACGTGTTTTGTCATCAAATGCAACACAAGTTCTAAATGCGACCTCGAAACCTATAACAGAAGTACAACTATGGGGTTAAGGTGGTCGAGATGAGCCGGAAGCAGCGAATCCTTCACTATTGCCATGATGCCACCACTTCGGTTAATCCTGTCACGTCGGATAGTGAAATATCCAGGTATGCTTAGGACATTATTTGCTGACAGCCATGCCTCTGTGATGCAGACAATGTCCACAGGATGAAGCTCCAGAAATGACTGCATGTCCTGTTTCTTACTACAGATACTACGAACATTGAGAATTAGACCGGAGATGGAATTCCTGTAAGTCTTTGAAGATGCAGGGAAGTCCAAAGGATAGTTCTTCAAATTATTTTCAGGTCCCAATGTAGAATTGAGCTCATGATTACTGCCAAACTCCTCATGGAATGAACTGTCAGAGCATGAGAAAATGGCAGCTTGTACACACAGTATGGGCAGAACCAGTCCACAGTGCTAGATATTAACTCATTGTACTGGGTGATTGACATTTCAGTGATGCATTTCTAATGCCAAACTTTGTTGCAGTCTTCCCAGAGAAGAGATCTCTTATTACTTTTCACTGCGTGTGACCTCGGTTGTAATAGTCTATATTTTACCTTCACCTGTCATAGCGTAAAAATAAATATGACATTTACTTTCGTATAAAGGGTCACCTTTGCCAGACCTTTTACACAAAAGATGACCTCGTGCAGTTCTGCAAAACAGGTTGACTCATTGTACAAAATAAATATGACGAATCTACTTTCGTATAAAGGGCCACCTTTTACCTTCACCTGTCATAGCGTAAAAATAAATATGACATTTACTTTCGTATAAAGGGTCACCTTTGCCAGACCTTTTACACAAAAGATGACCTCGTGCAGTTCTGCAAAACAGGTTGACTCATTGTACAAAATAAATATGACGAATCTACTTTCGTATAAAGGGCCACCTTTTACCTTCACCTGTCATAGCGTAAAAATAAATATGACATTTACTTTCGTATAAAGGGTCACCTTTGCCAGACCTTTTACACAAAAGATGACCTCGTGCAGTTCTGCAAAACAGGTTGACTCATTGAACTTAGTCTTTTGTTCCGCGTTTTGCGCTGTCACTGCTCTAGGGCTATACACAACTATACCCTTATAAAAAATCCACTATAGTTTCACCATTATAAATTTGTAGTTTTACTATAGTTCATCAAAGTTTACTATGATAAGTATAATATATGTAAAGTGTTGTGTAAGGTAAAGTTACTGTAATTTTACTAGAGTAAATACTGCAGTATTATTGTAGAAAATTTAAAGTTAACTTGTAGTAAATATATGGTGCCGTATTAAAGTTTACTGCAGTTTCACATCATACAAAAACTATAGAAACACTAAAGTACGACTACAGTTTTAACACTCTACGTTCTACACATTTACTGTAGTTTCAATACATCCAAAAACTGTACTATTACTTTTTTAAACGCTGAAGTAGGACTATAGTTTTAACACAATACTTTCTGCATATTAACTGTAGTTTCACTGCATCCAACAATTGTAGTTTTACTTTTTAAAAACTGAATATAGGACTACAGTTTTAACACAATACTTTCCGCATATTAACTGTAGTTTCACTACTTCCAAAAACTGTAGTATTGCTTTTTAAAAACTGAAATTAGGACTATAGTTTTAACACAATACTTTCTGCATATTAACTGTAGTTTCACTGCATCCAAAAGTTGTAGTTTTACTTTTTTAAAACTGAAGTTAGGACTATAGTTTTAACACAATACTTTCTGCATATTAACTATAGTTTCACTACATCCAAAAATTGAAGTTTTACTTTTAAAAAAAAAATGAAGTTAGGACTATAGTTTAATTTTTTGCATATTAACAGTAGTTTCACTACATCCGAAAACTTTAGTTTTACTTTTTGAAAACTGAAGTGGGACTACAGTTAACACAGCACTTTCTACATATTAATTGAAGTTTCACTACATCCAAAAACTGTAGTTTTAGTTTTAAAAGTGAAGTGGGACTACAGTTTTTAACACAGTGCTTTCTTCTGTGTCACTTTTTCACCAAAACTCAACAACAACTTCAAATCTAAAGTAATCATATTAGTCTTGTAACAGTTTTTACGTGTATTTGTACATTACATGTAGTTCTTCAAATCTAACGTGTACTCATTTTTCAGCAGAAAAATAAGCCATACGAATTACTTAAGTACGTGTAGTCATGTTTCCAAAAATAATATGCCTTGTGGAGACTTGACAAAACTGCATGATCTCCATACATCGAACTGCATGTGAGGGACACCAAATAATTAGTCTACCACTCGCATTCTGAACCATGCAACATATTGAATATGCTACAGCACCATATCTGCACAACACAGTTTATTGAGCTAAACAGGAAACAGCCCACATGTTACATCATCAAGAGAATCATATGTTACATGCCTAGCCGAACACACACACACAGCATGCATAGTGTAGCATATATAGGCAAGTCACAATACGCAATGACCTTGCATACCAGATAAACGGTCAGTGTGGAAAATTTGAAAACTGCATTCAGTTGCAATAATGCTGTAGTGCTTTGCAAGAGGCCAGAAAAGTTGAGTTAAACTGGGTCAAAATCATGCCAATTATTTGCATGACATGTGTGCCTGATGTGGACATAGGTTACTGTTCATGTGCATACGCATCCATATCCCACATGGTTAGCATGTAGAAATACACTGGATGGATGATCGGTGGACATGTTGGAGCTTAAGAGTTATAGACATGATGATGCCTGGCATGGTATGCCTGGACCATGGAGAAATGCCTGGACTCTTGTCTCACGGAGTCACGCTTCACAATCACAAGCTGTTGTATGCGGTAAGTCTACAAATTCACGTTTGGCTTTTATTCAGTTTGTTGATGATATTCCGTTATGGCTGTCCTACGCCACACTTGGATCAGACATGCTGGATATTAAATCAGCTGTAAGCATATGTTAAAGTTTCAACTGAATGACTAGGAAAGTTATTATTGAAAAAATTGGACCCAGTTTGTGTAATATTTTAATTATTTGTGTGTGTGTATTATTTTTCATTTCAGATACATCGTACAGCATTAGCACCAAGAACTTATCCCCCAACCCCTGACAAAAGTTTGGTCATGTTGGTGATGTGTAAAAACATGTATTATAAACCACAGCAATCCAGGTATTCCATTCAGCCATACATACTGTACATATGTTTGTTACTCTATTAATTTACTTGGGCTCATGGGAAATTTCACAACAAGATTTCATTGCATCCTACTTTTGCCAAGAACAAACTTAACAAAGAAAGTTTAGCAATAAATTATATTCAATTTCAGGGCAAGCTGAAAAACATGTATATGCTGGAAGTACATTTTCATAATTTTACCTTTTACAAGGCATTGCAGATGATATGCGTATTACTTCATTAACATGTAAGCTGTGGGCAGTCTTTGTTTGTTTAAAGTTTCACAGTCACAACCCTTCAATTCAAACTTTGAAAACTATTCTTGTTGATAGATGGCCCATTTTCATTATAAAAGACACTTTGAACAGACAAATGTGCTTTTTGTGGCAAACATTGTCACAATAAAACCGGGGCTTCGTTGTGTTTAAAGACTGCACCATCCCCTTTGTAATAACCCAAACTTAAGTGTATTCAGCTGTATTTTTCAGCTGTTTATTTTCCTGTTCATAACTTTTTTAAGACCGTAATATTTTTAAGGTTAAAATGTTTTGCTGTTATCAACTCGATATACATGAACATGTAGGTTTAATTTTATACAACAGTCTTGGATGCATACATTGTGTGCATGGATTTGTACAATGTGAACAAGTCCTTTTTCTAAGATACAGATTTAAGACACCCTGTTTGTGCAGTCATGAAGCAAAATTTGAGCTTAATTGAAGGATTAGACCATATTTTAATTGCCTTCAAAAACCTGTGCATTCCTGTTTGAGAAGAATGCTTGTGTATGCATTTTTGAACATTTGATTCATGTTTAGTTAAATGATTTTTTTATTTTTGCACTTTTTAGGGTGACATGTCATTTAAACATCATAAATATGTTAATGTTAGTAAAAGTAATGTACATGTATTTAATACTTTTTTGCAGGTGCCATATAAGCCAGGTGCCACAACATTGACGTACATGTACATGTTTATTGTTTAACTTAGTCTCTTTTTGCAGATAACATGTGTAACACAAGTATGAGCTGATAACTCCTTCGTTATATTTTTCAATTTATTTTACCCTTTGACAAGTTCAATTTACTGTCTTTAAACACTTTTTGCATCAAAACAGTTCTTTAGCTCATTTAACAAATAACTGAAAGTGAAGATACAATTTTTTTCAAGTACATGTACATGTATTTGCTCAACTTGTGAAATGTAAATTTTATTTTATTTGTGTGACAAATATAGGATGATGCACATGAAAAAGAAAAAAAAGTCTTGTCTTTTTTATTATGTGTCCTTTTAAAGTTTTTTTTAGTTAGTTTGCCCATAAAATGTTGTAGTCCACTGTTCATCGGAAAATGAAGCAGTTTTGCTGGAAGAATTACATGTAGTGTACGTCGTGGTAAACTGCACCAAAAGAAATGTAGTAGTGATTTTGGAGTTACTGTACAACTACAATACTTGTATTTATTTTTACGGCACTAAATCTGGAGTAATATCTGCAGTAAAACTGCAGTAGAATTATAATAAACCAAAAGTGAACGTCATGTTCCCGCCCGAAGCTGATAGCGCAGAACTGCAAATATATTTGGCAATAACGTAAAAGGTTGTTCCCGCCCGAAGCTGATAGCGCAGAACTGCAATTAAACATAGCAATAAAAACACAGATTGTTCAGCAATATTCTCACAGATAGTTCCCGCCCGAAGCTGATAGTGCAGAACTGCAATTACATGTATACATAGCAACAATACCACAGATTGTTCAGCATTATTCTCACAGATTGTTCCCGCCCGAAGCTGATAGCGCAGAACAGCAATTACATGTATACATAGCAACAATACCACAGATTGTTCAGCATTTTTCTCACAGATTGTTCCCGCCCGAAGCTGATAGCGCAGAACAGCAATTACATGTATACATAGCAACAATACCACAGATTGTTCAGCATTATTCTCACAGATTGTTCCCGCCCGAAGCTGATAGCGCAGAACAGCAAATACATGTATAAAATAGCAACAATACCACAGATTGTTTAGCATTATTCTCACAGTTTGTTCCCGCCTGAAGCTGATAGCGCAGAACAGCAATTAGCAATAATATCACAGATTGATAAGCAATATATTATCACAGATTGTTCCCGCCCGAAGCTGATAGCGCAGAACTGCAATTATACTTAGCAAGTATAGTTAAAACAATCTTGTCAAAGTCTGCTCCCCTCCAAAGCTTGATAGCAAAACCGCAATTATAAGCAAAACAGTACTGACACTGTTAGTTCCGGTCCAAAGCTGGTGACGCGGAACTCTGCAATTAGCCATGAGCAACATAATAATGACAGATAAACTTCAAGTGTAACTTATGAATATATCAATCAGCAAAATAGGTAAGAGAATACAGACTGCATGCCTTTTGCGATTAATCCCTTAAACATCTTGCGCCTGAATTACCGACAAAGGCAGGGGTCAAGGGTTTTGCCCCCCAAATCCCAGAAGCATCATAAATAATGAATAAAGTGGCCAATATCTGAGGCCTATTTGCGGTCTTGGAATGCAATTACCGCCAAACTTTACTCCGTCGGTGATATTGCCGATTCTAAGAAAGGCGAAAACCCCCTCAAAAACCACAGAGGGAAAAAAGGGGGGAATTTCCTTTCTGGCTCCACTAATAAATGGCAACCGAGTACTGCAAGTTCATGATCACTGCGTCAAACACTCTAGAATCGGCAAATTATCACTCAAACATATCGTGCAATACGAAAACATCAATTTTTACCATGGCAATGTTTATGCGGAATATGTGCAATTAGGTGACTACGAACGGGGAGGAGGAGGGAATTTTTTCAGCAAGACAAAACTTTCTTGCCGGACCTAACTGCGTGGCTGCTCAAGCAAAAGTGACCGTGTGCTCGAACTTTCAGTAACAGTCCAATTACAGTGAACTAGTTCATGCACTTAAATCATTGTGGCCACAAGGGGAGTGACCTGGAATGGCTAACCTTCCAACCATCCCTGTCAACGGTCCAGCGGTGATAAATTATTTGAAGCTTCAATTCCATTTGCCTCAAATCGATTATCCCCGCATGCTACCAAAGACACAAGAGACCGGAATCAGAGGCTGCACACTCAGCATTCTTTGTTACCTGTGGCCTGAGCAGCCGTTTATTCAATATGCCAAATATCATGTTCCCGCCCGAAGCTGATAGCGCAGAACTGCAAATATATTTGGCAATAACGTAAAAGGTTGTTCCCGCCCGAAGCTGATAGCGCAGAACTGCAATTAAACATAGCAATAAAAACACAGATTGTTCAGCAATATTCTCACAGATAGTTCCCGCCCGAAGCTGATAGCGCAGAACTGCAATTACATGTATACATAGCAATAATACCACAGATTGTTCAGCATTATTCTCACAGATTGTTCCCGCCCGAAGCTGATAGCGCAGAACAGCAATTACATGTATACATAGCAACAATACCACAGATTGTTCAGCATTATTCTCACAGATTGTTCCCGCCCGAAGCTGATAGCGCAGAACAGCAAATACATGTATACATAGCAACAATACCACAGATTGTTTAGCATTATTCTCACAGTTTGTTCCCGCCTGAAGCTGATAGCGCAGAACAGCAATTAGCAATAATATCACAGATTGATATGCAATATATTATCACAGATTGTTCCCGCCCGAAGCTGATGGCGCAGAACTGCAATTATACTTAGCAAGTATAGTTAAAACAATCTTGTCAAAGTCTGCTCCCCTCCAAAGCTTGATAGCAAAACCGCAATTATAAGCAAAACAGTACTGACACTGTTAGTTCCGGTCCAAAGCTGGTGACGCGGAACTCTGCAATTAGCCATGAGCAACATAATAATGACAGATAAACTTCAAGTGTAACTTATGAATATATCAATCAGCAAAATAGGTAAGAGAATACAGACTGCATGCCTTTTGCGATTAATCCCTTAAACATCTTGTGCCTGAATTACCGACAAAGGCAGGGGTCAAGGGTTTTGCCACCCAAATCCCAGAAGCATCATAAATAATTAATAAAGTGGCCAATATCTGAGGCCTATTTGCGGTCTTGGAATGCAATTCTCGCCAAACGGACATGCTGCGGGACGGAGTTTCGCAACATGACCGCCGCCAAATAGACTCAGGTCGTATGCAACCGAGGATAAATAAACATAATCATGTAAAGCAATACGCAAATAGTGTTTAGCATCGGTTACCCAAAATAAACGAGCCACTTCATCGGTCAGGTGAACCTCATCTGTAGGGTGCTGCGGAGTGGTCCAAAGATTACGGTGTTCGACTCGTGTGCCGTGGTACATGGGTTCGAATCCTGACCGTGGGAACACGGTGCTTGTGCTCTTAAGCAAGGCACGTTACCGTTATCGCTTCGCCTTTCGGATGGGACGCGTAAGCCGTAGGTTCCGTGTGTTGTGCAACGCACATTAAAGAAACCAGTAACACCTATCGCTAAGACTTGGTTACTAAGAGAAGGGGTTTTTCCTGGTGTTTCTTAATAACTGACATAATGTCCAGCGCCTGGAGTATACCTTAATGTAGGGAGATACCTGGCTATATAAGACTCCGGTATTAACATTGTTAAAATTAAAATCTGTCTGATCATATACTCAAACGACGAATTGGAGGCAGCCAAAAATTAATGACTCCCTATATGCATTCCAAAACAGGGAAATAAATGCGTAATGAGCGAAAGTCTAACGGCGGATTGCCTACAAGCGTAATTCGGTACACGGTTATGTAGGTGATGCTTTGCAGAATTTCGGAAAAGAAAATAATGAAATAGGAAAGTGTCACCGTGCGTCTTGCCTGTTGTCATAGATACGCTAGCCCGCCGTGAGTTTCCAGAGTTGCTTGTGTTTACGAAGCCGAAGTCAATGGAGCCGACCTGTAACTCTGCACCATAAAGGCAGGCAATGACGAAGCCGCAGACCATGCCTAGGGCATCCATTAAAAATTCAATGTACTCGGTCATCCGCATTGTGTGCCAGCTGTTGCAATGGAGGCTCTCTCCCAAGGGTGATGACCCCGCCACCCTCGCAAAACCAGTTCAAGAAAGCGTCTCCATGCTCCAACCATGGAGATCTTTTTTACAGCTACATGCTCCTTTTCATAGCTCCATGCGCCAACTTCTCCAATCGGCCTGTCAGGTGGCGAATCTCATGAAAACAGAAAAGGAAAAGTTGAAAACTCCATTAATACTGGGGATATAGATCTTGTTTAAAAATACTGGGCGAAATACGAGTGTAACAACGGTAAATAAATACGAAATAGCCTAAATGTGATAAACCTGTCATTGTGAGGCCCTGCCGGCAAACTCAAGGGCACGACGAAAGGACTGCAAACTGAAGACGTGTGTGACCGCGCTCCCATCGAAAAGAGACAAATAATATCTGAAGCAAGTGGTAATGTGGAACCAGCAATGTTATAGCCACCTGTACTGCATGGCAGAGCATGGCATGGCGTGGTATGACGAGTTTGCAAGGCTGGGAAGGAAATAACGTAACCATAAACTGGTCAGCCTGAGTTTTTGAAATACACAGCTCCAGTTCAAACCTAAATGGCGTAACAATCACAACAGTGACACCGGAGTGACATAGCGGGGAACGCGAACTGCAGGACCAGGGCAGTAAAATGCAAATAAACCCGTAAAATGCAACAAAAAAGGCAACTCGATATAAAGGCGAGCATCAAAGTGATTCGTGCATGCAAACGGCCTCTATATACCGACACAATGCGGCATAAGATACCAAAGTGATGGAGCGTCGTCTATCATCGTTTTACTACAAACTGCTTTGTTACTTTTATGAGGAAAACTCAGCTACTATACATTTGAAGAAAAATCAGATAGGTATGAAGTAATCGAAGCAGGGGCATAACTAGATACCGACAATAAAATGAACTTAACAAGCTGCAGCATGGAGGGACAACGCTCGGCATCAAATTCCTGGCGTGCACGGAACTGAAAAGATGTCAAGCCCTCCAATATAAAAGGCTCGTGCGAGGGGCCGGGGCAATGGCGTTTTGGAAACTGATGACGCTTGGACGAAAGTCTATTGATGATCAAACCATGGAGCTACAACACCTTGGTCAAAAAATCCCTGTTCAATGTTGCCATGCAAGCACAAATGGAAACAACTCCGTACAAGCGATAGAAAGGAACTTCACCTTAACATGTGCTGACCTTCAGGTGTTTTCGTGAGAAATTTC